CACAATATTACTGTTTTTACTGTATTGTTGATCAAATAAATGCTGTTTTGGTGAGTTCTTAGACAATACACTTAAACAGACCTGTAGTATGAATTCAATAAATATCTTGTCATGCAAGATTTTTAACGAGATGGCTTTATTATAACATCCACAAGACAGGGTAATACTATTATTCATAATACTTTTTCCTTTTAAATGACCCTTTAAATTGTAATGTTTGCTTCAGCTCATAGCATGGAATGGATCTGATTTTTAAAAAAGGTTTATCTATTGTTCTTATAAAATCTAGATGTCGTCATAATTCATCTGGTTGACTTCTTCAGTAAACATGATGGGAGTATCCCTGACATTCAGGTTTGACAAACTGCAATGACATACCACTTACAAAATTGTGGTGGGTGTTTTGAATCATGATTATTTAGGGAATCACCTCAAGCAGAATCCTGAGCAGAAGGAGCGGCTTAACTGTACATTTTTACTGCTTGGTTTCCTTAATGTATAAATCTATGCTTTCCTCATCACACTAAATGACATGCATTATTGTTTTGTTGAAACATCTGCCTGAGGCTGTGCCTGAGAACTCCACACCTAAACCAAAAAGTCTTCAGTGTCACGCTTTTCTTCAGAAATCATTCTAATATGCTGATTTGCTCTTCAAGAAACATTTCTGATTATTATCAATGCTGAAAACAGTTGTGTTGCTTAATATTTCTGTTATAATATTTTTACAATTATTCTTAATTTATTTCAGGATTCTTTGATGAATAGAAAGTTCAAAAGAACAGCTTTTATTAAAAAAATAAATAAAAATCTTTTGTAATATTATAAATGTCTTTACTGTCACTTTTGTTCAATTTAATGCATCTTTTCTGAAAGAAAAAGTATGAATTTAGTTTTAAAAATGAGACGATGCACCTGCCATACTGGAGTGTTGCACTACTGAATACCATTATATTCTTTCTTTTGATTATCAATATATCAGAATGCCATGCTGGTGCGACTGAGTCTCAACCGCAGTCTGCAGCTGTGTGGGAATGAAACATCTGTCCCGGACTGCTGCCTGGAGCCTCTGTGTCTCCAGGAGACTCTCCTCGTGTCTGCATGTGTGGATGAAACTCCCAAAGCCTCACTCATCATACAGACCCAGATTTATGCCCAGATCGTCCCCAACCAACCCCCATCTGGTTAGTGTCTGTTTTCATGGAACTGAATATGAAGTGCTGCAGTACATCCTTGTGGTTTTTACTACTGTGGTACTACCATTGTTGTTGAAATATTTACAGTATTATTGGAGTACCATGAAATACCCTGGTTCATGAGTATTCCTGTCACTCAATCATTCACATTTGCATTAATTTAGCAGAAGTAAACTTACAAATGAGGAACACTACGAGCAGTAGAGCTAGAGCATTGCTTTAGTAACAGCAAGATCATGGGTTCAGTTTCCAGGGAATGCATGAACTGGTCATGTATTTTCCTTGAATGCAATGTAATTCACTTCGATACCATCATTTATACCATGGTGCCACTATACTATTTCATAGAGTAGTCATTATACTTGAATGCTCATATATGATATATGTCTTTTGTGTGTGTTTTATTTATTTGCAGAAAATAAAACCGTCATTCCCAACCAAGTGTTTGAGCCTCTCGGTCACTGCCCATGTGATGTTTCCCCAGGCGAGTGTGACATACGCTGCTGTTGTGACCAGGTAATAATTAAAGCATAGACAGCTGAATATCTGTTTCTAATATATCAATCCTTTTCATTGGCATTCTGCTGTTTACTCTTTGCTAAGCCCCACGTTAATGATCAGTCCTGTATAAACGTTGAGTACGCTCAAAATGGGCATAGAAATGTGCGTATGCTGTTTTCCACGCATGCATTTGGATTTATAAAAAAAAAAACTTGCTGTTAATACTGTATGTGCGCACCGTACAGATACTCTGGACTGTGCGTACGCACTCTTTTTCCTGGAGAGAGAAAAGTATGGGGGTAGAATTGTTGCTTTATTCCAAATAAATAGATTATGATCCACAAATAAATGTAAAGAGATTAACAAAAATGAAACATATTGACCAATAAATAGTTAGATCCACAAATAAAATGAGATTTGCAAATAAAAAACATGTTCACAAATATCTTTTTTAAGTCACAAACACAACTTTGCCTGGCATTAATTTGTGAATCGCGTCCCGTGCATTTGTAGATCGCTGGTTAGATCCACAAATAAAATGAGATTTGCAAATAAAAAAACATGTTCACAAATATCTTTTTAAGTCACAAACACAACTT